CCCCAGAGTGTTTTGGCTTTCCATGCCTGAAATTTGAGTTGACTTTTGTATATGTTTTGACATGAGTCTAATTTGGTTTTTCATAATGTAGTTATCCAGTTTTCTAAAAATCATTTATTGAAGAGCCCAGCCTTTCCAAACTGTTTTTTTTTTTTTTTTTTTGTTTTTGGCAACTTCATTGAAAATCAGTTGATTTTAAATGCATGGATTTGTTTCTGACTAGTTATACTCTTCCAGTGGTCTGTCTATTTTTATGCTAGTAACATGCTATTTTGGTACTGCAGCTGTGTGGTATAGTTTGAAGTCAGATCATGTGAAACTTCAGCATTGTTCTTTTTACTCATAACTTCCTTGGCTGTTTTGGATCTTTCCTAATTTCATACAATTTATGACTCTTTATTTCTGAGGAAAATGTCATTGTAATTTTGACAAGGATCCCATTGAATCTGTAGATTGCTTTGAGGAGAATGAGCATTTAAACAATATTATTTCTTCCAATCCATGAACAAGGATATAATTTCATTTATTTGTGTCTCCTTAAATATCTTTTGTCAATATTTTATAGTTTTCAGCATATTCATATTACATTTCATTAAATATATTTTATTTTTGATAGCTATTATAAATACAACGTAACTTTTAATTTCTTCTTTTGGTAGTTCATGTTAGTGTTGAAAGGTTTTTTATTTTTTATGTTAATTTTATATCCTGCAACATTACTGAATTTGTGTATAGTTCTACAAGGTTTTGTTAACAATATTTGGGTTTTCTATATATATGATTGATTATGTTTACAAAAAGGGGCAATTTAAATTATTCTTTTCCAAAATGTATATCATTTATTTCTTTTTCTAGCATATTTCTCTGCTAGGACTCCTGGTGCTATGTTGAAAAGAAGTGACGAAAATGGATACCTTATATTTTTCCATTCTTAATGGAAATTCTGTCAACTTTTTATCATTGAGTGTAATGCTAGCTGTGGGTTTGTCAGCCTTTATGGTGTTGAGGTATGTTTGTTCTATAAGTAATTTGTTGAGATTTTGTGTCATGAAAGGCCATTGAATTATGTAAATTTTTTTTTCTGTTTTGCATCTGTTGGAATGATCATACTGTTTTGGTTTTCATAGCTTTGCATATGTGAGTCATTCTTTCATCTCAGGAATAAATTATGCTTGATCATAAATGATTTTTTTGCTAAAGATTTATTTATTTATTTGAAAGTCAGAATTACACAGAGAGAGGAGAGGCAGAGAAAGAGAGAGAGAGAGAGAGAGGTCCTCCATCCTATGGTTCACTCCCCAACTGGCTGCAATGGCCAGAGCTGTGCTGATATGAAGCTGGGAGCCAGGAGCTTCTTCCAGGTCTCCCATGCGGGTGAAAGGCCCCAAGGACCCGAGCCATCTTCCACTGCCTTCCCAGGCCATAGCAGAGAACTGGATTAGAACTGGAGCAGCCAGGTCTCCCACTGGTGCACATATGGGATGTTAGCACTGTGGGCGACGGCCTTACCCACTATGACACAGCGCTGGCCCCAGGCATATTGTTTTCTATCCTTTAACTTTTAATTTATTTATTTATTTAAATTAAAATGAACCTCTTTCAGGGAACATATACTTGGTCTTATTTTTTGTTCATTCACTTATGTTTTTTGATTATAGAATTTAATCCATTACCTTTAAAGTAATTATTGATAGGCAAAGAATACTGTCACTATTAATTATTTTTTGGTTGCTTTATGGGCTTTTCTTCTTTTTTCTTATTTTAGTTTCTTCCTTTGTGATTATAAATTCTGTCTAGTGTTGTGTTTTGATTCCTTCCTTTTTGTCTTCTGTGTCTACTTTATGTTCATGCTTTGTGGTTACTATGATGTCTATATAAGATATCTTTTAGTTATAACAACATATACCAAGCTAACAACAGCTTAACTGTATTTTTTTAGTATTTAGTTATTTATTTGAAAGTCAGAGCTGCACAGAGAGAGGGGGAAAAGAGAGAGAGAGAGAAAACTTTCATCTGCTGGGTCACTCCTTAGATGGCTTCAACGGCCAGGTCTAGCCAGGCTAAAACCAGGAACCAGGATCTTATTTCAGGTCTCCCATAAAGGTGGTAGGGGGCCAAGTTCTTGGGCCATCTTTTGCTGCTTTTCTCAGGCCATTATCAGGGATCTGGATCAGAAGTAGAATAACCAGGAATCAAATTGGTGCCCATGTGGGATAGTGACATCGCAGGCAGCAGCTTTACTTGCTATGCCACCACGCTGGTCCTAACAGCTTAAATTTGATTACATTAACATCTCACGACTTTTGATCCATCCCCTTTTCATATTTTGTGTTTTGATGTCACAATGTGTATTTATATTGTGCGTCCTTTACCTAATTACTGTAGCTATCGTTATCTTTAATAGTTTTGTCTTTTAATATTGGTATTTGAGAGGCAGAGTGACAGAGGGAAGGAGAGGGAGAGACATATAGAAAGAGAGATTGTGAGGGAGAGAAAGGGAGAGAGAGAGAGAGATAGAGAGAGAGAGAGAGATTAATTGGGAGATCACTCCCATACACTGATTCATTTCCCAAATACCTGCAGTAGCCAATGCTGAGCCAAGGCCAGAGCCAGGAAATAAGAATGCAATCCAGTTCTCCCATGAGGGTTATAGGAACCCAGTTTCTTGAGTCGTCGATGATGCCTTCTACAGTCTGTATTGGTGAGAAGCTCAAGTCAGGAACTCAACCCAGGTATTGTTATATGAGCTATGGGCATCTTAACCAGTATGCTAAATGCCTACTCCCTAATAGTTTTATCTTCCATCCTTCATACAAAAGATATAAAGATCTAATTGATTTGCCTACTGCCATTACAGTATTAGGGTATCCTGAGTTTCAATGTGTATTTAATGTTGCACTTAGTTATATAATTATATAATTTATAATGTTATTGTATATGTTGTTTTATTTCTATTTAATATTTCATTTTAATTTTATAATTTTTATAATTCTATACTTTTAAACTTTCATATTTTAATTTTAGATTACTTTTTAAAAATGATTTAATTTATACCAGTTTCATGTATTTCATACATACAGATTTATGTTTTCACATTATCAATTAGAGTCATTTTTTTAATGTGAAGAATTGCCTTCAACATTTTTATAAGACTATATTCGTGGTGAACTCCCTCAGCTTTTTTATTCTGGGAAGTCTATCTCTGCTGTTCTTGCCTCAAATTTGGGAGATTAACTCATATCTCCTGAAACAAGATTCTGTGGAAAAAATGGGCAGAGAACAAAGTCATAAGGCTCATTTAATTTAGAAATGACTGATTATTATTCAATCTTATCATAAGACAGTTAAATTATTTTGCCACTTTACTTATGAGAACTGGGACTTCTTGTGAAGTTTACATCAAAACTTTTAAAAAAGATGTATAAAGTATAAGGATTTTAAAAATTAAGGCAGCATTAGCTGAATATGCCTTTAATAGTGACTCATTTAACTTTCTCATTGTACTGAGAAGCTTATTCTCAGATCTTCCACTTAGGCTTTTATTAAGCTTTTTACAAATATGTTTTAAATATTAATTTTATTTTAACTTGTAATCATACTGTTATTTAATCATATTTATATATTTCTTTTTTAAACTTTTATTTAATGAATATAAATTTCCAAAGTACAGCTTATGGATCACAATGCCCCCCCCCATAACTTCCCTCCCACCCGCAACCCTCCCCTTTCCCTCTCCCTCTCCCCTTCCATTCACATCAAGATTCATTTTCAATTCTCTTTATATACAGAAGATCAGTTTAGTATATATTAAGTAAAGATTTCAACAGTTTGCACCCACACAGAACACAAAGTGAAAAGTACTGTTTGAGTACTAGTTATAGCATTAAATCACAATGTACAGCACATTAAAGACAGAGATCCTACATGAGGAGTAAGTGCACAGTGACTTCTGTTGTTGACTTAACAAATTGACACTTGTTTATGGCCTCAGTAATCACCCTAGGCTCTTGTCATGAGTTGCCAAGTTTCTCTATCAATTGATACTGATTTTCTATTTTTCATTTGTATGTAATTTTTTAAAAATAGAGTTTGAAAATCTTATCTAAATAAATTACAAAAGATATTGCCAAAGTATCCTTGAATGACAGAAGGTTTTGAAAGGTATAATAAGGTTTTAGGATAAAACTTAAAAGACAATGTTCACTCTATCATTTTTAGACTTAAAAATGATACTTAAACACCTACAATTATTCTTTCAACTTATTTAACTTTGTAAAAATGTAGAATTTGAAGTCATTATTCCAATTCTATCTTTTAATACCAAATTATTTATCACATATAAAACTAGTCTTCACTTCTATTTCTTCCAATCGCATTAATACTTGTAAATCAGGACAGACATGGCTATGACAATAATTTCTCTCAGAAAAGGTACAATTTGAAAATAGAGACAGACTCACAAACTATATTAGTCTGTTTTTGATTACTGCAACAAAATACCTGAGGCAGGCTATCTTATGAAGAAAAGAGGTTTATTTTGACTGATAATCCTGGTCCAACTGTGACGGTACACGTCTTTGCATGACCTTCCTTGCTGGCAGAGTCCTGAGCATCATTTGGTGAGTGACAAGGAGCAAACATGTATGTCTCCTTGGGTCTCTCTTCCTCTGCTTATAAAGCACTGGTATTCAATTACAGGAGTTCCACCCCGACAACTTTATCTAATCCTAATCACCTCCTAAAGGCCCTCCATATTAACATATAGTGCAATCAAGTTCCACCTCTTAGTATATCACATTGGGGATTAAATTGCACACACTCAAGCCATTTCGGAATAATAGCACAATTACCTAACTATAATGAAAAGAGGAATGAATTTTGAGCTATAGTCAGAATATGCACATGAGCAAAATATTGTGTCAATAGAAAGTAGGAAACAATGTTGTGACTGAAATAAAGGGTTGGAATAGGGAGAGAGAGAGAGGTAGGCTAAACAGAGCTGGTGGCATCTGACCAGAAGCTTCAGTCACAAGCATGTTGTGTGATAAAGTATTCCGGGCTGATAGAAATAAGTCAGTAGAGCACTAAAGTGAAGAAAATGCAAGATTTGTTCAGGAATTAGGAGTCCAAATGTTGCTGATGCACAAAGATATGTAATTAAAAGGGTATAAGCCTGGATATTAAACTTAATAGCTTACAACTTATTTAGGCAAATTTTTTAAAGCAATGAGTTAGTGAAATATTTGGCCACTGCCCAAACTTAACATTGTCGTGTGCTGTAGTAAATGCACTTGGAACTGAGTCAGTATTAGAGCTGATGCACTTTAAGTCCCTTGGGAGAAGCAAATGCCAAGATTAGAGGTCATTATAGCATCTCTGGAGCCATAAAACTGGAATTGGAAATATCCTGAAAGACTTAAAAAGAAAGCCATCATAATTAAAGCAAGTTTTAAAGAGAGTAATTGATGGGACATTTGCCAGCTTTGAATTAATGAAATTCAGTCTTAATTTTTAAAAGTGCTGGTTGTAGCAAAATGAAACGATCCTTCTTCAATAAAGTGTGACAGTAATGTTATCTCATTATGATTCATTTGAAATTTGGGTTCTTACCAACTGTAATGGATTTGGTTGGTTAAGAAGAAAGTGATGGTTGCAAATAATGTTGCTATCAGTCGGGCACCTCCTGACTCTAAATTAGTGAAATGAAAGGCATTGTTCCCATTTGCACCTGCCTTCCATGCTTTCAGCCTTTGTATTAATAGGATTTGATGTTAATTAATCCTGGAATCAGGAAACTAAACAATAAATTATGAAATATCTGAAAGATTCTACATTCCAGGTTTTTGCTTTCTGCTTGCTCATGTGCTTGAGTGCGTGAGCACGCAAAGGAATGGCTGCTTTTAGTGAAATGGGAAGGTATGAGAGTTATTGATTGGGTTCTTCCTGACATTGGCTGTGTAACAAACCTGTCATTTCTCCAAGTGGTGAATCATGTTGACAGGATGCATTATATTTTATAAGCTTTTTTCTTCATCCAGAACATTTGTAATTGAGGCACACTTGCCTTTTAAAAGTGAGCTCTGCTGCATTCAACGGCCATTGAAATATCTGACCTGACTGGGATAGCGCAGAGGATTTAACATGAACAAGATCTTTTCAACCCCAATGTGCTTTGGATTCCTTTCTTTCTTATCTGTAATGATCCTTTTAGAATCGGTGCATGGAAGACCATATCTAATCCAAGGTATGTGACCATGAATCTAAAGTCCTACAGGTGGGTAAATAATTCGTATCTTGTTTCACTTTTATTTTTCTGCCATTATTGAAGAAGATTTTGCGATGATGATGTTATTTTATCACCAAACTTCCCTTGAGCAGTCAGTGTTGTGAATTAAATGTAATCTGTGTAATCTGTTCTAACTATGTTGGACCAAATTTACTTTATCAAATATTCTTCTACATTAACTTCAACTACACTTTGTTGTAATAATGGAGCATTTTTTATCACTTGTACTCCATTACCAAAGATTGGGAATGTATTAATAGTAACTCAGTCAGTCACATAATTTATGCATATTTCAAAAGTATACCTTGGAGTAAGAAAAAGGATATTTTTGTCCTAAGAGATTACCAGTCAGCTATCCAGGAAAGTAGAGTATATTGAGATAAAATTTTGTGAGATTTGAGAATAACAGTGCATGGGGATAGCAACATTATAATTTATGGCATCTACAAATACAGACCATCATAAAATAGGCAAAAACAAGTTTCTGCTCTTATAATATTATAACATACAAATCTTTAAATATTAACTGCATTCTATAGTAGAAATAGTTCTTAATGTAACAATCAATAAAATTAATTTAGTGCTGACTTATTAGGCAACAACCTCATTAAAACTATTTTCTGCTTCTTTGTTTTAAATAAATATCGACTTAGAATACTCCTCTCTGATATCCCTTCCAGCTTGACGCTTAGATTTTCTTTTCTCTAACTCTCTTTGTCAGTAGAGGGAAGACATCATTTTATACTTATCTTACACAGGGGGAACCAAGACAGAATGTAATAAATATTGTTTATGTGTCATTGAGTTGAGAAAGGGATCAAGTTTCCCACTTTTAGATGTAATTCAACTTTACTAGACACCGTTGCCTCAAGGGTGGTTTAAAAGTCAATAAAAGTTTAAAGTTCCTTTCAGAGTTGAAATAAAAATTGCATAAACTCAGTGACTCATTTATAAAGATTTTTCACTGAAAAACAAATACTCTCAGCAACCTAACTGCAAACCTTGGAATCAAAATTTCTGAATTTTGCTCTTGGTACTCACATTTTTTAGTTGCCTGGCCACTCAAAATCATGGCATTTGGTAGGCCTCCATTGATCTTTCTATGAAATGGTGAGATTTCCAATGTTTCCTTACATAATACAGACACAGTTTAAAGAAAAATGTGACCTTTTGCTGAGGAATTTGAAAAATTAGAATTTGTTAGGTAGTGTGCATATACATATATATAGGAAGGTATATATATATATATAGTGGAAGGTAGTGTTAGGTAGTATATGTGTGTGCATATATATATATATATATATAGGAAGAGGAGCAGCCAGGACTAGAACTGGTGCCCATATGAGATGCTGGCGCCACAGATACATATCATATATATATACACACACATACACACACACACACACATATATACATATGCATGTGAAATAATAGGAAGACCAACTCTGAAACTGTTGCTAGGGTACAATTTGGTAATATCTCTGACCTGAGAAAGTCATACAGTGATAGGCATTTCTCATGGACAAGATGGAATCAATATTTCTCTTTGAACCTCCTTGGTCTCAGTTCCACAATACATTAATGGGGATGATTAAGTTATTATTAAGGTCATTTTCTGATATGAATTGTTCAAGGCTGGAATAAACTTCATATATACATTTTTAATAAACAAAATAATCACTTGTTTAGTCTTTTAATATATTTTTAAAATAAAAATTTATCTACTGACAAAGGCTACAGAATTATGGTTGCCAGACTTTTCTCTGTTAGATGACATCTAAGACAAATAGCTTAGGCCAGCTTTCATGTTTTGGAGGCCATGTAAAAGATGCTGCAGTGGCTATGTCTGAAGTAGATGCAATTTCCTATCACAGGTCTTGGAGGAATAAATATCATTCCCCAGAAGACTATGGAAATTTATTATTATTATTTTAAAATATTTATTTATTTGTTTGAAAGGCAGAGTTACAGAGAGGGCAGAGACAGCAAGAAAAGTCTTCCATCTGCTGGTTCACTCCCCAAATGGCCACAATAGCTAGAGCTGGGCCAATCTGAAGCCAGGACCCAGGAGCTTCTTCTGGGTCTCCCACATGGGTTCAGGGGTCCATGAATGGGCCATTCTCTGCTGCTTTCCCAGGTGGATTAGCAGAGAGTTGGATTGGAAATGGAGAAGCCAGGACTTTAACTGGTGCCCTGTTGGGATGCTGGTGCTGCTACCCACTATGCCACAGCATCAGCGCCAGATTTTTTTTTTTTTTAATATTTTATCATGGGGCCAGTGCTGTGGCACAGTAGGTTAATCCTCCACCTGTGGCACCGGCAACCCATATGGGTGCCGGTTCTAGTCCCAGCTGCTCCTCTTCCAATCCAGCTCTTTGCTGTGAGCTGGGAAAGCAGTAGAAGATGGCCCAAGTCCTTGGGCCTCTGCACCTACATGGGAGACTGGGAGGAGGCACCTGGCTGCTGGCTTCAGATTGGTGCATCTCTGGCCTTTGCAGCCATTTGGGGAGTGAACCGACAGAAGGAAGACCTTTCTCTCTGTCTTTCCTTCTCACTGTCTATAACTCTACTTGTCAAATAAATTAATAAAATAATTTTTTTTATCATTTTTGGGGTTTACAGGTATCTTCCTGCTAAAATGTTTTGTCTGCATCCAGTAAAAAGCTTCGCATATGAATGGAAAACATGAAGACAACCAAGTTTTTTGTTTGTTTTTTAAAGATTTATTTTATTTATTTGAAAGAGAGTTACAGAGAGAGGTAGAGACAGAGAGAGGTCTTCCATCACTGGTTCACTCCCCAGATGTCTGCAACGGCCGGAGCTGTGCTGATCTGAAGTCAGGATCCAGGAGCCTTCTCCGGGTCTCCCACATGGGTGCAGGGGTCCAAGGGCTTGGGCCATCTTATACTGCTTTCCGAGGCCATAGCAGAGAGCTGGTTCAGAACAGGAGCAGCCAGGTCTCGAACTGGCACCCATATGAGATAGCGGTGCTTCAGGCCCGGGCTTTAATCCACTGTGCCACAGCTCCGGCCCCAACAACCAAGTTTTTGGCATTCAGTATCACAAGTTGTAAAGAATCAGAATTTCTGCTGTATTTGCAAAACCATTCACTATCTCCTATTAGAGTAATTTTGGCAAGCATTGTGTCAAGGTGCATCTACACTCAGATACTTTATATTCATTTGTTTATTAATATTAATTCTTTGAATTAGGAACATATTAAAAGTACACTTTTTATTTTATTTTTTTTAAGATTTATTTATTTGAAAGTCTGAGTTATAGCAATGGCCGGGGTTGTGCAGATCTGAAGCCAGGAGCCAGGAGCTTCTCCCTGGTCTCCCACATGTGTGCAGGGGCCCAAGGACTTGGGCCATCTTCTACTGCTTTCCCAGGCCATAGCAGAGAGCTGGAATGGAAGTGGAGCAGCCGGGTCTCGAACTGGCACTCATATGGGATGCCAGCACTTCAGGCCAGGGTGTTAACCCACTATGCCACAGTGCCAGCCCCACTTTTTTTTTTATTTTTTAAGGCTCTGTTTTAAAACTAAAAATGAAAACAAGAAACAAAAAAAGTTATTTCCAGATTTTAAACCAACATCTTATTTAACTTTAGAAATCAACCTTTGGCTGGCGCCGTGGCTCAATAGGCTAATCCTCCACCTGCTGCGCCGGCACACTGGGTTTTAGTCCCAGTTGGAGCGCCGGATTCTGTCCCTGTTGCTCCTCTTCCAGTGAGCTCTCTGCTGTGGCCCGGGAGTGCAGTGGAGGATGGCCCAAGTCCTTGGGCCCTGCACCCGCATGGGAGACCAGGAGAAGCACCTGGCTCCGGGCTTCGGATCAGCGTGGTGTGCCAGCTACAGCACGCCTGGCAGCAGCAGCCATTAGGAAATGAACCAACGGAAAAGGAAGACCTTTCTCTCTGTCTCTCTCTCTCATTGTCCACTCTGCCTGTCAAAAAAAAAAAAAAAGAAATCAACCTTTTAAAAAATTTCTGGGGCCGGCACTGTGGCGCGGCAGGTAAAGCTGCTGCCTGAAGTGCCAACATCCCATATGGGCACAGGTTCACAGGTTTGAGTCCCAGCTGCTCCACTTCTGATCCAGCTCTCTGCTATGGCCTGGGAAAGCAGTAGAAGATGGCCCAAGTCCATCCTTTGGCTCCTGGCTTTGGATCGACACAGCTCTGGCCATTGCAACCAATTGGGGAGTGAACCAGTAGATGGAAAACCTCTTTCTCTGCCTCTCCTTCTCTCTCTGAGTAACTCTGACTTTCAAATATATAAATAAATCTTTTAAAAAGTTTCTGAAACACGTTTTCTTCAGAGATTCACAAAGAGGGATTGGGAGTATGGGTGTGAGGTTGGGCATGGTGGGAAGAATCTCCATGTTCCTAAAGTTGTAATTATGAAGTGTATGCTATTTGAAACTATAAAGCTGTATAGTTCTAAAAAAAAAAAAAAAGATGGTTGTCTTAAATCATTGCTGACAGGAATTTTCAAGGACAAATAATTTTCAATGTTCAATCACTGGAAACAAAACTAGAATGTAGTAATGCCAGGCAGGGATATTATGTTTGTTTTTACAAATAATGTTCCACTTAAATATCAGAGAAATGGGCTGTAATTCATCAAATAACGGCTTTTGGTTTATCATTTCTCAGTGACTTTTCTATTGGTCTTACATATTTTCTAAGAAAGGAGATGAATCAGTTTCTCTTTTTAAAATTCTCTTCCTGAAACAAATAGTCATTATTATCTGATTCTAAATGTCTTATTTTTAAAATCAAAGCATTTTAAACACAATGTAATAGATGATGAGAACAAATTTTGCAGAATGTTTTTTCTTAAATTTTATCTTGAGTTCCTGTGTATAATTGATGTTGAACAAAAGTTATACTTATATATTAATGTTTTAATACTCAATAGAAATCAGAGTCTCACAATTTATATGTCTTTGAAACAAATAAAACTTAGAAACTGGGCAATAATTAATTAGTTAATATGGAAAACTTTGGTGCTATCACCTGTTTCAAATTATCATTTTCTTCCTGTAATTAACCATTAATTGCTTGAGTTGATCAATGGTATTTTGTAGATACAACAGATGATTTAAAGAATCTAATAACTATTAATCATTTTTCTAGCTGAGCCCACAGTAATTTTATTCCAAAACTTCTACCATATTGATTTAGCTTCTACCTACAGTATAATAGTTAAGATGAGGAGACACGGAGAGGAAAAATGTTTCCTATAGAAATTATTTAATAAACTTGATTTTTCAGGCCACTTCACAGAAGTTCATTGTAAAATACTAGTAAATATTTCAATTGCATTGTTTATCAATATATATCATTACAATATTTATGCCTTATATCTTGAATGAAGTTTGTCATCCCTAATTTCCATTCCAGAAAAAAGACATTTATAATGCTGAAGCAATTTGATATGTGAGAAAGGAATGGCTGTGAGGTAAACTGACAAGATGGGAAGATGTCAATATGGAAAAGGTAGACAGCATTCCAGAACTTCCACGAGTTTTTTTTTAGTGAGTTAAAGTTAATCTCAGAATGCAAATAAACTCATATTTAAACCTACATACCAAAATTTTTTAGAAATCAAAGTTATTTTTCTTTTAAATACAACTTTAAAGCATATCTTTCTGTTAAAGGCAATAAGTATAGAGATTCAAAAATACAGATTCGAAAGAAGAAAGTAATATTCACTTCCAATTCCACTACACAGAAGTATATAATCTTCCAAGTACATTCTGTCTGTCTCTGCATGTTCATATACATTCAATAATTTTTAAAGCAGTCCATCTCTTTGGATTATACACCTCTCTTTATTCCTATTTCTTTGTTGAATATACATATTGTTAGTTGCTTTTAAATCCTATTTACTAGAAACATTTTCAGCCAGTCAAATTGGAAATGGGTATTTGTGATCATTATAGGAAAGGACTTGTTTCCTGATAAAGAAGATACAAACAATGAAGAAATCTTGTTGGCTCTGCTGAATAAACATTTTGATTTCCAAAGAGCTTCCAACATTGGTGAGTTAATAATGAAGTCAAGATTTATTTATTGATAAATGATGGAATCCGTCCTGTCTTCTGATCTGGTTTTTCTAAGTGTTAATTTAAATAAAATAAAATAAAATAATTTCTTTCTCATAGGCTGCACTGACTATTTATCTGTTTTATTTGTTTCACATTTGTGCTAACAGCCATGGAAATACAAAAAATATTGAAAGCCTATTTTTTTCAATAAGAGGGTGTTGATAAGGTTGGTAATTATCCAGTTAAAAGATATTTACTCATATTTCACTCTTATCTATGCAATTCTTCAGTGGTACAATTAATATTTTCTTTTACTAAATGTCTCAGGAGTATTGCATTTTTAAATTTCCAAAATAAATTTCACAAATGAACAGAACTTTCTGGTGGCTAAGTAGGCACTTTTTCAATCAAATAGTTTCATTTTGAAAGCAATCATGATTGTGGAATTTAAGCTGTACCTAAGCTATTTTCATTTGAAGAACAAGCGAGTCTGATTTACAAATATATTTTTGGCTGCTCTCCAAGAAATTAGTAGTATATTGTCAGAAATTAGCAAGTCCAGATGAAGAGCAAATATGACAATATGACAATGTGGTATCCTCTCATTCAATATCTCAAACATTCTTAACAATATTTATATTTTAAAAATTGATTAAATGGATACCTTAATACATTTTTTAAAATGCAAGGTTATATAATTAGAAGATATTTTCATTAGAGAAAATGACTCAAATTATAAAATCTGAAGAGAATAATGAAAATAGTTTGGGAAAAATTCTTCTTGATTAAAATATATAGAATTTGTGTCTTAGTTTTATTTTCATTTCATAGTGCTTCATGAGAATTCTCCCATGTCAGTAAAATATACAGTAATTTGTTTCTGAATAATGCTTCATGTAAGAAGTATAGCTTACTTTACAAAAATTTATGCTTGTTGGAAATTATGTTCTCTCTGATGACTTAGCTGCATTTCAATACATAGACATTGATATATATATATATATGTATATGTATATAATCTCAGAGGCTTTAGATTTGAAATGGATAGGTTATCAAATTATTTGCAAACCACTCTTCCATATGAAATTTCAAAATTGGGTTTCAATTTAATAAAATATCACTTATGATGTATGTTTCAACTGACAAATATGTCTTACAGATATAGAATTGGCTAAGAAATTGGAAGAACTTAACCAGGTAAGACTATTAAGCAATTAAATGCTGAATTGTAATAAAAATTATAAGGTAATAGCTTTCTGATATAATTTTTAAAAATATAAATACTAGTGTAAAACTTATTCCTGCTAGAGAAAGTGCAAAGAAATTAAATAGGAAAGAAATAATCAAAATATACTGAATAATAAAACCACAAAACTATAGCTGAAGTAGTTTTAGTACAGAATTGTCTAGAAGTCCAAATTCCAGTCTAACATCTCCAATTACCTAACCATGAGACCTCAGAAAATCTAAAATTCTCTGGACCTAAATCTCCTCATGTGTAGCATGGGACAGTGGAAATAGATTGGTGCTTCCTGGAGTTATTGTTTATATTTTCTCCCTTAAGTTTTTTTGGATTAGAAATAAACAAATTGCATGTATTTCTTTTCTTTTCTTTTTTTTTTTTTTTTTTGACAGGCAGAGTGGACAATGAGAGAGAGAGACAGAGAGAAAGGTCTTCCTTTTCCGTTGGTTCATTTCCTAATGGCTGCTGCTGCCAGGCGTGCTGTAGCTGGCACACCACGCTGATCCAAAGCCCGGAGCCAGGTGCTTCTCCTGGTCTCCCATGCAGGTACAGGGCCCAAGGACTTGGGCCATCCTCCACTGCACTCCTGGGTCACAGCAGAGAGCTGGACTAGAAGAGGAACAACAGGGACAGAATCTGGCGCTCCAACTGGGACTAGAACCTGGTGTGCCAGCACCACAGGTGGAGGATTAGCCTATTGAGCCATGGCGCTGGCCCATGTATTTCATATATGTAGGCTTAAGAAGATAGTGATAGTTCCCACCCTACCCTCAGTCCTGCCTGTGCTTCTAACCTGCCTCCTCTTTCATCTCTTATTCTTCTTCTTAACTTTTACAATGATCTACTTTCAGTTTACTTTATACTCATAAGATTAACAGTACTCTAAACAAAGAGTTCAACAAATAGTAAGAAGAAAAAAAAAAACACTGTTCCTCAACAGTAGAGACAAGGGCTATAAGCAATCATCACATCTCAAAGTGTTAATTTCATTCCTATAGATAATCTTTTTGGTATTCTATTAGTTACCACCGATTAGGAAAAACATATGGTATTGGCTTTTGTGGATTGGTTTATTTCACAAAGTCCAGTGGTTTCTAATTGTATCCCTTTTGTTGCAAAAGACAGGCTTTCATTTTTTTTTAATGACTGAGAAGCATCCCATACTCTCTCTCTCTCTCCATACGTGTGTGTGTGTGTGTGTGTGTGTGCGTGTGCATATGTATGTATGTATATTTATATGAACATATCATAATTTCTTTATCCAGTCATCAGTTGATGGACATCTGAGTTGATAACATCTTTTATTCATTGTGAATCAAGCTGCAATAAGCATGGAAGTATAGATAACTGATTTCTTTTGGTTTAGGTAAATTCCCAAGAGTGGGATGGCTGGATCATATGATAGGTCTATATTCAGCTTTGTAAAAGATATCTCTATACTGTCTTCCACAATGGCTATTCAAGTTTACATTCCCACAAACAGTGAATTAGGGTACCTTTTCCCCCACATCCTTGACAACATTAATTGTTTGTTGATTTCTGTGTGAGAGCCATTCTTACTGGGGTGTAGTAGAGCCTCATTGTGGCTTTGATTTGCATTTCTCTGATGGCTAATGATTCTGAGCATTTTTTTTTTCAAGTGTCTGTTGGCCATCTGAATTTCCTCTCTTTAAAAATGCCATTTCAAGTCCTTTGCCCATATCTTTTTTAAAAAGAGATTTATTAGTCTGGTGCCATGGCTCAACTGGCTAATCCTCTGGCTGCAGCGCTGGCACCCAGGTTCTTGTCCTGGTTGGGGTGCCAGGTACTAGTCCCGGTTGCTCCTCTTCCAGTCCAGCAAAGTGCTTGGGTCCCTGCACCCGCATGGGAGACTGGGAGGAACCACCCGGCTCCTGGCTTCAGATTGGCACAGCACCGGCCATGGCAGCCATTAGGGAAGTGAACCAATGGAAGGAAGACCTTTCTCTCTGTCTCTCTCTCACTGTCAATAACTCTCTCTCTGTCTCTCTCTCTCACTGTCTAACTCTGCCTGTCAAAAAAAAAGCTTCATTAGATTTATTTATTTATTTGAAAGGCAGATTTACAAAGAGGCAGAGGCAGAGAGATAGAAAGAGAGAGAGAGAGAGAGAAAGAGAGAGAGATATCATCCATCTGTTAGTTCACTCCCCAAATGCTTGTAGCAGCCAAGTTGACCAGAAACGAGGAGCTAGGAGATTCTTCCAGGTCTCCCATGCTGTTGCAGGGTCCAAAGCACTTGGGCCATCATCCACTGCTTTTTCAGGCCATAGCAGGGAGCTAGATTGGAAAAAGAGCAACCAGATCTTGAATTAGCGCCCATATGGGATGCCAGCACTCTAGGTGGCAGTTTTACCCACTACACTACAGCACTGTTCCCCCTTGCCCATTTCTTACCTGGATTGTTTGTTTTGTCATTGTTGAGTTTTTAAGTTCTTTATAGATTCTGGATATTAGTGCTTTATCAGTTGCATAGTTTGAAAATATTTTCTCCCCTTCTGTTGGTTGCCTCTTCACTTTGCTGAGTGTTTCCTTTGTAGTGCAGAAGCTTCTCACCTTGATGTAATCCCATTTGTCCATTTTGGGTTTGATTATCCATGCTTCTGGGATCTTTTCCAAAAAGTTTCCATACAAGTGCCAGACCTCCCTGTCCCGGTCTACCCTGAGCCCTCTCTGCTTCCTGCAACGGAAGAAGATTCATCGGCTCTGGGACATCAGGCCTTCAGGGGCTGCCCCATGACACAACCCAGCGGGTGGGGCAGAGGGGTTTCTGTGTGTGAAAGACGACCTATGGATCAAGAGGGAGAAGTGTGTCCTACCCACAGGAGGCTCACAGCTTAGCTTTTCTGGAATTTTCCTTGAGGGTCTTTTCATTACAGAATCATTTTATAATATCCTCCCCCATATTTCCATGAAGACTTTAGTTGGCATTCAATTAAGTCTACACGTTGTCTTGCACAGATCAGACAACTGTACAATACCTGGCAGAGCTCAGAGTCGCCCAGCAGTCATATGTCAGCCCAGCAAACACGGGGCGCCTGGGTGCCCTGGAAATGTCTTGCAGTTTCCTACATGTTCTCCTCTAGTAATTTGATGGTATCAGGTGTAGATTTAGATCCTTGATCCATTTAGAGTGGATTTTTGTATAAGGTGCATTCCCACTCTTAATTTCTACAAAGATCTACTTTCAATTTACTTAGGGAGTGTACAGGGAACCCTACCCTTAGTAAAAGAGTTTAACAAATAGTATGAGGAAAAATAAAAAACACTGTTCCTCAGCAAAAGAGACAAAAGGTGTAAACAATTATCAAACCTCAAAATTTCCATTTCATTCTAATACATTATATTTTAAAAAAGATTTTATTTATTTACTTGAAAGGTAGAGTTACAGACAGTGGGAGGGAGAGACAGAAAGAAAGGTCTTCCATCCTCTGGTTCACTCCCCAAATGGCCACAGCCAGGAGCCAGCAGCTTTTTCCAGGTCTCCCACATGGGTTCAGGGGTCTAAAGATTTGCCATCCCAGGCCAAAACAGAGAGCTGGATTGGAAGAGGAGCAGCCAGCAGCAGAACTGGCACCCATATGAGATGCTGGTGTTGTAGAGGGAGGATTAGCCCACTGTGCCACAGCACCGGCCCCTAATACATTGCATTTTAGGTATACTATTTTTAAACTCAAATCAGGGAAAACATATGGTATTTGTCTTTTTTGAGCTGGCTCATTTCTGTAACTACAATGGTTTCTAGTTGCATTGCATTCCCTAGGATGGTGGCTGTGGGTTTGTCATAATTTGCTTTGATTTTTTTTTTGAAGAATACTCCTTCTATACCCAGTTTGTGTAAGTTTTTTTAATCATGAAAAGATGTTGTATTATATCAAATACTTTCTCTGCATCTATTGAGGTAATCATATTATTTTTATTCTTCAGTGCGTTAATGTGATGTATCACATTTATTGATTTGTATACATTGAAACATCCCTGCATACCAAGGATAAACCCCACTTGGTCCAGGTGAATGAATTTCTGATGTGTTGTTAGATTTGATTAACCAGTGTTTTGCTGAGGAGTTTTGCATCTGTGTTCATCATGGTTATTGCTATATAGTTCTCTTTCTTTGTTGAATGCTTTTCTGGTTTTGGATTAAAATGATGCTGGCCTTATAGAAGGAATTTGGGAGGATGCCCTCCTTTTCAATTGTTTTGAATAGCTTGAAAATAATTGGAATTATTTTTTTAAACATTGTTAGTATTCAACAGTAAAATCATCAAGTCGAGTTTTTCTTTGTTGAGAGAGTATTTATTAGTGATTCTATCTCCATCTTGATTAATGGTCTGTTTAGGTTTTCTGTGTCTTCCTGACTCTATTTTGCTAGATCCTATGTGTTCAGGAATCTATCCATTTCTTTCTTATTTACCAATTTGTTGGCATATAGCTCTTTGTGGTAATTCCTGATGATTCTCTTTATTTCTATGATATTCACTGTTATATCTCCTTTTTCAACTCTGATTATTGATTTAGGTCTTCTCTGTCTTTTTTTTTTTTGGTTAGTTGGACTACTGTATCAATTTTGTTGAATTTTTTTTTGAACAGCTCTTCATTTCACAATTTTTTGAAGTTTTTTTGGTTTAATTTTATTTCTTCTCTAATTTTAATTATTTCTTTTCTTCTAGTAATTGAGAAGGATTGATAGCTCATTTGTTTTATGCCTTTCCAATTTCTTGATGCAGGCACCAACTGCTATAAACTTCCTCCTAACATTGATTTTTCTGTATCCAATAAGCTTTGATAGGTTGTTTTGTTGTCTTCATTCATTTCCAGAAATTTTTTGATTTTTATTTCTTCTATGATCCACTGTTCATTGAGAAACAATGTATTTAGTCTCCATGTATTTGCATATTTTCTAGAGATTCATAGTTTGTTAATTTCCAACTTCATTCCATTGTCATCAGAAGAGATGTATGATATGATTTCAGTTTTGTTGAATTTGCTGAGATTTGCTTTATGGCCTAGAATATGGTCTATCCTAGAGAAAGTTCCATGCACTCATGAAGAGAATGTGTATTCTGCCACTGTAGGGAAATGTTCTGTAGATATGTATGTTCATTTTGTCCATAGTGAAAATTAGCTCTGTTGTTTCTTTGGTAATTTTCAGTCTTGTTGATCTGTCCACTGATGAAAATGAAGTGTTGACGACCCACATTACTATTGTATTGGAGACTGTGTCTCCCTTTAGATCCATTAACATTTGTTTTAAGTTGCCAGCTGCCCTGGAATTGGGTGCTTGTACACTTATTATAGTCATGTCTTCTTATTGAATTGAACCTTTAATCATTATATAATGTCTTTCTTCATTCTTTTAACAATTTTTGTGTTAAATTCTATTTTGTCTGATATTTGGATGGCTACACATGCTTGCTTTTGCTTTCCATTAGTATGGCATATCTTTTTCCATCCTTTCATTTTCAGTCTGTATATTTGTTGATGAGATGTGTTTCCTGTAGGTAGCAAATAGATGGGTCTTATTTTTTAACCCATTCTGCCAGTCTATATGTTTTAATTACAGAACTTAGGCCAGTTACATTCAGGGTTATTTTTGATAAGTAACAACTTGGACCTGCCTTTTTTCTAAAATATTCCTTTTGTTTGCTTTGTATTTCCCTTGTACTTCTATTAGGAGATTTTCTGCCTTTACATTTTTTCATAATGATGAATATCTTTCTGTGTTTCTCTGTGTAGCACATGCAAGCACCTTTTATAGGCCTGGATAACAGATGATATATTCTTTGAATTTCTTTTTGTTTTGGAAGGTCTTTCCTTCAACTTCATATATAAATGAGAATTTTCAGGGTACAGTATCCTGGGTTGACAGTTTTTTCTTTTAAAAATTGGAATATGTCTCTGAATTCTCTCCTAGTCTGTAGTTTTCTGATGAGATATCAGCTGTGGGTCTAATTGGCAATCCTCTCAAAGTAACCTAGCATTTATTTCATGGGCATTTTAGAATCTTTTTATTATATTTTACCGATAAAAGTTTGACTACAATGTGTATTGGTGAAGATCTTTTCTGATCATGTCTCCTAGTAGTTCTATGTGCCTCTTGTTTGAATGTCCATTTCTTTCTCTAAATTAGGGAAATTTTATGTAATTTTTGGCTGAATAAGCCTTCTAATCTATTCTCTCTTTCCACACCTTTAGAAGCTCCAAAGACCATATGTTGGATCATTTGAAAATATCCCATAAATCTCAAACATTATTTTTTAAAAAGATTATTTTATTGATTTGAGAGACAGAGTTACAGAGAGAGGTAGAGCCAGAGAGAGAGAGGTCTTCCATCCACTGGTTCACTCCCCAAATAACCGCAATGGCTGGAGCTGTGCCAATCCAAAGCCGGGAGCCAGGAACTTCCTCTGGGTCTCCCAAGCTGGTGCAGTGGCCCAAGGACTTGGGCCATCTTCTACCACTTTCCCAGGCCATAGCAGAGAGCTGGATCAGAAGTGGAGCAGCCAGGACTCGAATTGGCACCCATATGGGATGATGGTGCTGTAGGCTACAGTTTTAACTTGCTGCACCACATTGTCAGCCCCCATTATTTTTAATTATTCTAATTTCTTCTCTTTTTTGGTCTGAAAGATGTTTCCAAAGATTTATCTTCTAGCTCAGCTTTTTTTTCTTCTACCTCTTCCAGTCTATGATTAAGGCTTTCCACTGTATTTTTTATGTGGCATAGTGAATTCTTTATTTTTAAAATCTCAGTTTGATTTATATTCAAAATTTCAATTTAATGGGAAAATTTTCCTCCATGTGTACCTTGTACATGTATTTTGTGAATTGCTTCTAAGTAATACCATGATCATTCTTTTGAATTCCTTTTCAAGCATTTCATCAGTCTCTTTGTCTTTACATTCTAATGTTGAAATGTTGTCTGCTTTTTGAGGGAGTCATTTTTTCTTCCTTATTCTTGTTTCTTGAATTTCTTCCTTTAGTTTTAGGCATTTATGGAAATATTTGTTGGTTTTATCCTCTGATAGCTTTTATCATTTGCTTAATTTTCTGTGGCTCAATGGAGTGTCTGTTATTTCAGTGAATACCCAGACACATTTGCTGTTTTGGCCAATGAGCTCTAGTCAGTTTTCCAGGTTGTGGTGAATATCCAGGGTTACACCCAGGTTAGATGTGGTACATCTCCTCTATTGTCAGCAGGGGGCAGTGTATGATCACCCTGTTGGTGCATTCACACCCTCACTTCTTTTCAAGGTGATCAGTGCCTGGTGTTAGCCCACAGTGAGTGTGCAACACTCATCCACACTACCACGTGAATCACACATGGGATTGGTGCAGTCCTCAGCATGAGCACAGATCCCACTTCAATGATCCACCCCAGCCAATAAGAGAGCTCTGACCCTCTGGCACCATACACTGTCATTGCCCAGAGACTCAGCTATACCCTGCACCCTATTGTGCAGTCACAGAATTCCCTCAGTCTTAACACACAAGGCTCCCACACTCATGGGGTACAGAAGATCTGCTCCACCCTGCTAGCCTGTCCCATCTAAGGAAAGAGTAGAGACATTCCCAGAACCAGCTGCCTGTGGGTTCTCTGTCTTGGCAGTTTGAACCCCAGAGCCTATGATATGTTAAGAGGCTAGGGGTACCTCACAGTCCTGTGTATGTGTCCATTCACCTGTTGACCCTCCTAGCCAGACTCAGTGTCAGTGGGAAATGCAGATTTTTCCCTCTGGTAAAATCCATGGATTACACTCATGCACAAGAGCCACTACAACGATTACTGCTGTCAAAATGGTGCCTTCTTTCTGTCAGTTGCTAGGCATCTTTGTGGGGGAATGGAGAGAAAGAAACACACCCTTTTTCCATTGGGTTAACAGGTATGCTTCCCCCCTTTAAGGCTCCAGGTCAAAATCAAAGGCAGTATGGAATGTAAGGCTCTCCCTCTGACAATATCACCAGTAATGCAGGCTGTTGCAGTCTGCTCTCATATACTCTCCAAAGCAGTTTATGCTCTAGTTCTCAGCTGCAGGGATCAAGTGTTAGGCCCATGCTCATTTCCACACTGATCCATGGTTTCCCTCTTCCTTCTGTCGAATTTCCACTGCAAATTTCTAACTTTCCCCTGGGAATGAACTTCCCCCCTCCCCTTTTTATCTTCTGTTTCCCCCTTGCCTAAAGCAGTACTTCCTTTCCCTATTCAACTATCTTGGAATCCTCATTATTATTTTTAAACACTGGTCATTTTTCCCCCAAAACGTTATGTGGTCTCAGCCAAGAAAATATGGGAAAGTAGAGTTGCTCTGCTTGAAGCAGCTGTTCTGGGAAGGCTGAAGGGATTTCTTCTGGACAGGGAGCCCATTGGAGCACCGTTTTCTCCACTTCTTGATATGCTATGAAGAAACTTTGAAAATCAATAGATCAGATGTTTACTAGACTCATTCAAATATAACTGAATGCAACTCCATTATTAATCTGAAGCCTATGTGGCCATTTAGGAAAATTATATCCAACATTCTCTTCTGAGATTTGTGTGGTCCAGGCTGAATCTTACTATCATAAAGTTAGGTTTACAGGACTTATTTGATGACTGAAATTCTGGTTAAAATTTTAGGGCCTCAAATATTTCTTTCTTCCTTCTATAATGGATACAGATTTCAGGAAATCCAAACATTCAGATTACTCTTTGATGCTCCTTGGAAAGGATTCCTCATTTACACCAAAAGTTTACTTCCTTTTCCCAAAATATACTTCTTACTGATCACTGGTTGAGTCATGTGCTTTTCTCAGCCAGTATCTAAATGTGTTTCCTGTTTTTTTTGATTCTTTGGGGCATTTAATTTCTTTGTTCATTTTCTATTTTCTTTTTTGTCTCTTCCATATTTTCTTCCATTTTTCTATCTTGCTTGCTCTTATATCTCTTCTTAAATAGAATTGCATTTTTTTTTTGATAGGCAGAGTTAGACAGTGAGAGAGAGACAGAGAGAAAGGTCTTCCTCCCGTTGGTTCACCCCCCAAATGGCTGCTATGGCCGGCACGCTGTGCCAATCCGAAGCCAGGAGCCAGGTGCTTCCTCTGGGTCTCTCATGCGGGTGCAGGGTCCAAGCACTTGGGCCAACCTCCACCGCCTTCCCGGGCCACAGCAGAGAGCTGGACTGGAAAAGTGCAACTGGGACAGAATTAGGTGCCCCAGCTGGGACCAGAACCCAGTGTGCCAGTGCCGCAGGCAGAGAATTAGCCAAATGAGCCGAGGCACCAGCCTGCATGGTTGTTTTTTAAAAACTAGTTATTATCTTTCACTTTTAACAGCTGGAAAAGCTAAAAGAACAGCTCCTGGAGGCAAAGCGTGCTAAGATGTCCTATGCTATGGATGACTTATCCTCTTTACATCCTAACAAGCGAGGTAAGCTTTCATTTAAGTTATGTAAGTGTATTTTTACAGCGCTTAAAAAAATATTTATTTATTTATTTACTTGAAAGACAGAGTTACAAAGGAGAGGGAGAGACAGAAGGAGAGATTAATTGTACGACACTGGTTCACTCACCAAATGACCACAAGGCTGGAACTGGGCCAGTGCAAAGCCAGGAGTCTGGAACTTCTTCAAGAACTCCCATATGGTTTCAGGGGCCCAGACACTTGGATCCTCTTCAGTTGCTTTCCCAGGCTCATTGGAAGGGAGCTGGATTGGAAGTGGAGCACCAATATTGGGTGCCAGCATCACAGGCAGTAGCTTTACCCACTACGCCACAACACTGGCCCTATAGTAGTCCTAAAAAGGGATGAGGTTGAACTAGTGTTTTATTTTTTAAATCTCAAATTATAGTGTTTAAACACTTAGACTCCAGAGCTGAGTTCAAATCTCAACTTCAACATTTTCCTACCTATGACATCTTGGGTAATGATCTTACTTCCTTTGCTTCATTGTCTTTGCCCCAAAATGTAGGAAATAAAGTCTTCATGGGATTGTTGAGAAGATTTAATGAAGTAATTTAATTTAGAATAATATCTGGTGTGCGGTAAATAATAAATACTTATTTTTTATTATTCTGATCATTGTTGCTGTGATTATTATTTTATTCTCTACAGAGACATCAAATATAACTAATAATGTACTGCTTTATAGATGAGATAACTATAATTTAGAAGGATTAAATTATATACTGAAAATATTCTAGCTAAGTAAAGTAGTTAGCAAACGTGAAGGAGAAAAGTTGTAGGAGAGGAAATGGAAAGTGGGAGGCAGGGAACCTGAAACTTTAATTTCTACTTTTGTATCATATAGGAAACCATCTGAAAGCTTTGAGCAATAAGTGATATGTAATAGATTTTAAAAGACTCTTGAGGCTTTATGGAAAATTCATATGGAAAAGAAAATCAAATATGAGAGCAGAGACCTTTAATAAAGCTACTTTGGTGATCAAGAAACAGTGGCAGTGTGAATTGGAATGCAAGAATGAATGAGACGAGCTCTGATTCTGAATATATTTTGAATAAAAAATCAACACATTTTCTGTATAATTCCATATGGAGTATAAAAGAATGGCAGGTGTCAAAAATGTCTTTGGGGGTTTTATTCTGAGCAACTGTGAAAAAGGAGCAATTTCTGTTTACTGATTTTGGAGAAGTATGTTTGGACAGGGGTTGAAAGAGACTTGGGCCATTCGTTAGACAGTATAGCTTAGGCTACAATCGTGTTAAATTTTTAATAAAAATCTCAGAAGCTTAAAGTAATAAAGTTCAAGTATAAATTCCAATTCATGTGGCACAGTGCTACTCTATTTTATATGTTATTTAAAATATATCCTGTTAATCATGATTGCCCAGACAGGGATGGATAGGGGACACATATCAACTCTCAATTGTCTTAGTTCAGAAGTGACACACATGACTTGCACTGAATTCCACTGGCCAGAATTAGTCACATGTGGTGCCATCAATGTAAGGAAGACAGTCTGGTAAGTGCAAGGAAGTACCTGTAAGATTCGAGGAGCACTGATGCTTCTGCAGTAAACCATCTGATATCTTCCTGAAAACATGGACTATAGTCTCCCCATTCTCATCAGAGACAACCACAGATTTGTTTCACCATCTGCATGTATTCAAAGAACAGGTATAAGGTATAATGTGGCTATTCTTCACTCACAGAACTATTAACTAAAAAGGGCAGGTTCCTCACAGACAAGGAAAAGAATACTCAGAAACAATATTGACTCATAAATATTGACACACAAGTTCTGGAATGCTTGGCTACAGCAATTCTGAAATCTCACAGGGCCAATATTGTGAAATCTCTTAGCATGGGTATAGAAAAATGTCTCTTTTCTTTTTAATAATTTATTTAACTTATTTATTTTAAAGCAGAGTTAGAGAGAGAGAGAGAGAGAGAGAGAGAGAGAGAGAGAGAGAGGAGAGACAGCGTCACTCCCCAAATGGCTGCAATAGCCAGGGCTGGACCAGGCCGAAGTCAAGAGCCAGGAGCTTCTTCCAGGTTTTCCACATGAGTGCAGGGGCCCAAGCACTTGGGCCGTCTCCCTCTGCTTTTCCCAGTCACATTAGCAGGGAGCTGGATCAGAAGTGGATCAGCCTGGGACCTAATCTGGCACCAGTATGGGATGCCTGGCATTGCAGGCTGTGGCTTAACCTGTGTTGCACCGCAGTGCTAGACAGAAAGTTTTCTTGATTAGGGCCACACATACTAAGGGTTTCTGTTTTTCCAATATTATTCCTGGACACAAGTCCTGCTTGGGGGAATATTCCCTTCTGACTTGCCAGTTTTCTCAGGATCTGCCAGTTTTCTCAGCTCTCTTTATATTCTTAAATGGTTGGAGAAAAGACTTGTCTTACAGTGCCAAAGACATTTTTATTCTAATGTTCCTTGTTGCTTTGATCACAATTATTTTATTCAAAAAATTTAGAAAGCTTCTCTAATATTTTCCATGCATATTTTTAGCATAACTTATTTTGCTTTTTCATTTCCTACTTAATAGCAGCTTCCCTAAAAGTATCTGGAATGTACCTTAAAAATCACATGCTTAATCTGTTTTTAATCTCTCAATTTATTTATTCCAATTGATATTTATGGAGCCTCTATTTCTTAAATATTCTCTGTAATCCCATTTTTTTTGTTTGTAAAATTCTGAAGCCTTCCTGAGTGCATCCATTTCTTTTATTTATTTGCTAAATTTACCAACAATAGCCTAAATATACTGCTAGTTTTTTACTTCTCAACTGTTTTTTTCAGAAGTGCAAGGGATATATGATCTGAATTTCAAACTGTTGTAGATTCCAGTTTAACAAATATTTTGTCATTTCATAAACTGGCTCTTAGTTTTTCCAACATATATTATGATTCCTCTTGTATCATTAATGTGTTCTGAGACCATGCCACATTTTAGGAACTTCTTAGAGTAGCACTCCACTTCAAGGTATTCAATCACATATTAGGATATGCTAGGTGATGTACATTAACAAAATAAGCTTACTCAGTGGTAGAGCTTGTTATAAGTCTTATGAATGAATGTTGCTCATTTTCCTTCACTTTCTACCTACACTGTGTGGAATATATCATCCCTATAGCCCCAATAGTAAGATAGAACAAGGATTAAGGAGGTAAACCTGCTCTTAACCATCATAATTAGGCACACAATCCCAATCTAACTTAATGTGGCTAGGAAGCATCTGGTAAATGCAGAGGAGGGCAAATCATTGTGGGAGAGTCCTATCCTTATCATAGATACCCTGGGCTTTTTATGCCTATTTGGTGGTGACTTAAATAGATCACTGGAAATATGCATTTGGAGTTCAAGGAAGAAGCCCAGATTGAATACAGAAATTTGGCAGTGGAGCCAGCATCTTGGCATGGCAGGTAAAGTTGCATTGGCAAAGTAAAGTAGCATTGGCATCCCATATGGGAACTGGCTTGTGCTCAGCTGTTCCACTTCTGGTCCAGCTCTTTGCTAATGGCCTGGGGAGAGCAGTGGAAGATGGCCCAAGTGTTTGGGTCCTTGCTACCCTTGTGGGACACCTGGAAGAAGCTCCTGGCTTTGGGTCTAGCTCAGCCCTGTCCATTGCAGCCATCTGGGGAGTGAACCAGCTGATGAAAGATTTCTCTATTTCCCTGTATCTCCTTCTCTTTTAAGTAAATACATTAAATAAATCTTAAAAAAAGATATTTGACAGTTATCAGCATATTAGCATTTTTTAATATTGTGATAAATCTATATAAGGAGTGAGTGATACATAAATCGATGATATCTAAGGACCATGGACCAAATAACATAAAGGTTAGAGATAGGCCAGTGAGAGAAAATCAGCAAAAGAGAATGAGTAGGAGCAGCTACCACAGGAGGAGACAAAAAAAATAGTGTCCTAAAGTCAAGTAAAAATATTGTTTCTAGGAAAAGGTGTTGAACTGTGTCTAAAGTTACAATAGATTCAGTAAACAGGGGATTACACTTTCTAGTTAAATTCAACTGAATAATTCATTCATGACCTTGAAAACAATTGTGTGGTGAAATTTGGGTTAAGGAAAACATGATTAAAGAACACAATCCATTGGCTATAGTTCTTTTGAAGAATTTCATTCCAAAGGGAAGAAAAAATTGGGGCATTAACACGAGTGGTGAGAGTCAGAGAAGTCTTTTGTTTTTTTAAAGGTTATGTTGAGACATTTTTCTTTGTGATAGGAACAAAATAAATATTTGTGGTAATGAATATGTGAAGTAGATGTCCAAGTTAGGAGACAAAATGCTAGTATGTCATATAGGAAGGATAGCTATTGGCCTAACTGGAAACTAAGCACCATGAATATAAATATATGAAGGTGAAATGGACCCAAATATACAGCTTAAGGCAGTAGGAATTTCTACTTACTGTGTAATACTGCTATTTATTTTCGTTGCTAATTTAATATATGGTTGACAGATACCTGCTACAAATATTTTTGTCCAACATCAGGCATCACGGTAAAAGCAGTGATCACAAGAGTATATACCAGAAAGGCTTCAAGGGATAGCTGAATGCTAACTGGGGTTTTACTTCATGTAAGGCAATACATAAGTACTGAGGAGTTAGTTTTAATGGCAATACCCATCATGACAATTTCCTTTGACCAGGTCCAAAAGGCTCTTCAAAATATAGTTCACTGCCCTCTGAACTGAACTGCTTATGTGGTGTAAGTCTTGGCTAAGTGTAGGCTTGTATTCTTTTTTTTTTTTTTTTTTTTTTTTTTTTTTTTTTTTTGGCCAGACTGAGATATTAAAAGATATCTGAAAGGACAGAGAGGGCAGTGATGATAACTTTCCAAAGCACACTATAAAAAGAAGATTGGATCAGTGGACCAAGCTTGTCAGTTCAATGCCTGAAAATAGACTTCTGCTTTCCCAGGGTTTGAATGTGGTCTTGTTTAAGGGAAACTGTGGCTCTTGGAGAAATGAAAAGTAGTCTTTGAGTACTAGAATAACACTCTGTGTATACGTGATGATGAGCACAAGGGCTACAGTTTAAAGAGTGAGTTTGGCTGCAGAGGGAAATCCGGACAAGCATACGGGCCTTTATCATTTATTTCAATGAGGGGCTTAACTGTACTGTGAGGTTTTCATCCAGTTTTCACTGTGAGTCCCATTAATCAATAGTGAGCCCAAAGTCTGTCTTCCAAAGGTCTTAGTTTTATAAAGCCATTTTGTTAGAAGGAAATTTGAGAAATTCATAGTCAAATGAAACTACTGTGAGTTAATTGCTTGAGAACAGGCTACAGAGGGTTGAAAATGATTTGTTTATTCATTTTGAGACTGAAATTATGCTGAATTTGGTTTTATTTTCCTGAAGCATCATGTTATGGTCAGAACATGAAGATCTAGTGTGATAGAGAATTAATTTACTTAAATATCTTTGGTGGTTTAAAAAAATCTTTTAGATTCCTCCTCCTTCTTCCCTCAATAAGTCGAAACACTTTTACCATTGCTCTTTATTTATGTGACTTCACCTTTGGAATTTCAACTACTGCAAATAGAAAATAAAGGAATGAATCTTGCAAGATAACCTGTTGCATCCTTTGAAGTATATTATATGCATTATGATAAATAGCAGTGCTATCCAGTAGAATTTTCTGTGGTGGGATCATTCTCTAATTTTCATGGTAGTCACTGATGATAAATCACTATGGAGCCCTTGGAATGTCTTGAAATGTGATTAGTGTGCCTGAGAAGCTAAATTTGTAATTTATTGAATTTTAATTCTTTTAAAGTCCACATAAGGCTAGTAGGTACCATATGAGCATCCCTTTTACAAAGTTCTTTCTCTGTTATTCAGATACATAGAAACTGTTTGATTTAAATGAATTTTTTTTAATTAACTAACCGACTAATAAATTTTTTGCTTTGTTTTCTTCTTTAGCTTGCTTTTGGAAATACTGTGTCTAAAGCTTTCTCTGGCCATAAAAACCACGGGAACATTAGAAAAGGATACACATTTATTCACTCTACTGCTTGAGTACTATAGTTGTCAAAGCATAAAGAAACTGTGGCAAGCATAAAGAAACTGTGGCATTCATTTTATGTATTTTCTCAGTTTGCTTACTTGTTACTAAGGAGATTATAAAATGCTTAAGGCTTAGGTTGTGAGTAATGACAAATCTGTTGCAGTTTTGAATGGCATCAGATTTTCAAATGACTTTGTAAAGCTAAAGTTGAGAGTGTTGTATGTATTGTACACTTCCTGTTTAAACTCATTATTTGCTTATAGTTTGCCCTACGATGACTACACAATTGAAAATTAATTAAAATATGTTAAAAAGCATCTTGGAAAATGAAAAAATTATATTACCTCAATTTGTGTGGAAAATGTGCATTTTACTTTTGCTCTTAATATTATGGTGGTAACCCTCTTTTTTGTGTTTTTTTGAGACTTGACATTGAGTCTGCTACAACAAATGAATATGTAGCTAGCAAGCAGAAATTTATCATTTATTGGGCTCTATCAAAGATAAAGAAAATCTAAAATCTAAAAATTTGAGAGAAAGTGTTAATAAAACTTTCTTACAGAATGATTTGCCTTTTGGTTATTTAGTTTTTATTTCTACTACTTCCATAACATCAGAAACTATTTGAGACGGTCAACATGCTTTCAAGAGATTATATCTAACATGTTAAAAAAGCAAATACAGGGGCAGGCATTTGGATTGGGGGTTGAGGTGTTGGGTGAAACACTTGTGTCTCAAATCAGAGTAACTGTGTACAACGCCTGACTTTGGCTCCTGATTCTTGTTCCCTGCTTTATCAGTCCTTGGAAGATGGTGATGGCTCAAATAATTGGGTTCCTGCCACCCACCTAGGAGTCCTGGATTCAGTTCTGACCAGTGCCCATTGACAGCATTTATGCAGTGAGTCAGTGGATGGGAATCCTTTCTCTCTCTCTTGTTCTCTCTCCCTCTTTCTTATCTATCTCGATCTTGATCTCTATCTCTATATCTTCTCTTCTCTTTCCTATCTCCTATCTTTCTCCTTCTCAAATAAATTGGTTAAAATATTAAGAAACAAAATCAAGCTCCCTGTCTCTCTCTGCCTCTCAAACGAAACAAACAAAACCACAACAAAAATTTACAAAAAAGACGCTTCTTGATTTTCCCTTTAGTTTTTTTAATCCTTTTAAAGATTTATTTATTTATTTATTTGCAAGTCAGAGTTACACACACACACACACACACACACAAAGAGAGAGAGAGAGAGAGAGAGAGAAGAAGAGGCAGAGAGAGAGAGATAGGTCTTCCATCACTCCCCAATTGGCTGCAATGGCCAGAGCTATGACTATCTGAAACCAGGAACTTGGAGCCTCTTCCGGGTCTTCCCATGCGGGTGCAGGGGCCCAAGGAATTGGATCATTTTCTACTGCTTTCCCAGGCCATAGCAGAGAGCTGGATGGGAAGTGGAGCAGCCAGGGTTCAACTGGCGCACATATGGGATGCCAGCACTGCAGGCGGTGGCTTTACCTGCTATGCCACAGCGCCGGCCCAGGCTCTCTAGTTTTTGATTCAAAATTATTCATCAAATTACTCTTGCTTACACATGAACAAGCATATTTAATCAATCTGTGGCTGAGAGGTCAACCTTTGATGATTCTTTCTTTCAGGAGATATCACTAAATTACTTTTAAAAATAATTCACTTCAATAATTCCCTAAAGCTAAATATATATTGAATGTGCAATTATATAGACGTTTTGTAATGTGGTAAATTTTAGGATGATATATCCAAAATTTAATCTCCTTCAGGAAAATTTGGTTATGTTGATACCAGAACTCAGAAATCATTTGCTGTATATGGAACAAAAAAATGTAGGTTATTATTTTGAAACTAAATGAAAAAAAAAAACTTTGAGTTGTTGAATTTCCTATGAAATGTAGTTGGATTTCATAGTACACAATGTATTGGACAAATAAATGAGATGACTCATCATATTCTTAATAGGAATTGTGTCTTAATTTACTGTAATGCTTAAAGGATAACTTATTTAAATTTGATATTGTTGATTTATTTTCTAATCTAGTGATAAGATTAAAAAATGAATTAAAGAGTTGTATGCAGGGAAAATATTTTTCTTTTTTTCTTCATAGAAGTCTTGTATATGGGTTATGTTATGAAAAACACATACCATCTAGAATACAGCAGGAATCAATAAGTTGTGACCTCTTACTCCAGTTAAATTCTGAATTAAAAAATGAAGAATGTAGAAAATTAATGAGTTTAATACCATTTCAAATCATTGCCAGGAGAAAAATTTAGGCTAAAGTTGATTTGTTTTAACAAAGTGTGAAGCAGCACCCAGTTGGATTTGAAACTTACACATACTCAAGGAAGGAACTTCCCAGGAAGAGACAGCATGTATGTAGTTCATCAGAAGACTGGGCAAAGGTGGAAACTGATCATAACTTTTTTTTTTTTTTTTGACAGGCAGAGTTAGACAGTGAGAGAGAGAGAGAGAGAAAGGTCTTCCTTTTTCCATTGGTTCACCCCCCAAATGGCTGCTACGGTGGCGCCTGGTGTGCTGTGGTGATCTGAAGCCAGGAGCCAGGTGCTTCCTCCTGGTCTCTCATGAGGGTGCAGGGCCCAAGGACTTGGGCCATCCTCCACTGCCTTCCTGGGCCACAGCTGAGAGCTGGACTGGAAGAGGAGCAACCGGGATAGAATCAGGCACCCTAACCGGGACTAGAACCTGGGTGCCGGCACCGCAGGCGGAGGATTAGTCTAGTCAGCCATGGTGCTGGCCGATCATAACTTCTTTTAAATAATTATTTCAAACCATTAGTTCATAGGAAATTTAGCCAAGGACCACTCATAGCTCACTATCACAAGTTTGTGAAAAAATAAAATTGGTTAGCTTTCTCAAAATCCGTTTCTGTCTTTTGCAACAAAGTGGTTGCAACTGGGGACCCTTATGCATAGTGAAATTAGCTACACCAAAAAGACAAATATGTTTCCCTCTGATTTATGGTAGCTAATACATAGACTACCAAAAAACCCTAAATGTGTATGATTGAAATTGACATCTTGTGATTTGATTATTGTTTATATCCACTGTCTGTACTCCGGTGGAACAGTGGTCTTTCTACATTTTACTTGTTGAATTCTTTATTTAATGTAGTATTAAGCTTGTGATTTTAAAATAAACTGAAAGTATGTCATTGCAAAAATAAAAAGAGAAAATGAATGGAAGGAGAAGGGAGGGAGGGGAGGCAAATTGTATCTGTCAAATATACACAATCTGTTCTGTTTGTATTAATAAAAATGTTAAAAATTTTTCTCTTTCTGGTGGTCCTTTTCTATGAACAAAATAGTCGTTGACTCTTTTTTCCTAAACCTATCACAGATTTTCAACAATTTGAAAAACTATTAAGTTATACAGAAAACCACTGTGTAAAGACAGTTATTCATTTCTTTAATCTTTTTCAGATATTCTAAACAAATTTCTAAGAAACTTAATAACTAAAACAATATAACTAAAAATTAGTCTTTTAATCTTTTATAAAGGTTAACTATTTAGTTCAGCTTTCTTCTAACGCATTTTTTTTATTATGATGCTTCTGTGAGGTTTTTTTTTAACTCTTTGAATTGTACATTCATTTTTAGGTAAGTTTAGCAACTACTAATTTATATTCTCTTCTTTTAATATGAAGGTACTCTCTCAACAATGCTCTTTGTTTTCATATTAAAAAAGTCCTTGATCTTTCATGCAAAGTTTTTTCCTTCTCACATTATCAGGTTTGTTTGATAATGACTACTAGTGTTTAAGGAAAATGTGTTTTGCAGACACTTTATACACTTATGCTAAGTAACTTATGGTCCAACAAATAAGTTATTTTTCTATTTTGAAAGCATATCAAACATATTACAGATTTATGTGTTCATGTTACAGTAATATCAAAGTATTGCTGAGATCTGAATTTTCCAAAATACCAAAGCTGATTCTGTGATAGGTCAACTATAAAGAATCTGAATCATTTTAAAGAAATTCTCACATACAATATACTTTTCAATAATGTGTTGAGCACAGAATATGAAACAGAATAATTTTTTACATGAGCCAGTAATACGAAAAAATTACCATACCATGACTTATGTGCTGAACTAAAAATTGTTTGTACCTAACTGTCCTCTAACAGCTGAGATGGTTTACTACTTGGTAAAACTTTAACTTTCCTCCAACTTTTAGGTGTTATTTTTATGTATAGTCTTCCTCCTCTTAATGAGCCATTGCTGTTCTTGATTAACTATAAGTTAAAACTTAGACAAATGGAAAGTTGTTAGTGGACACAAGATATCCAAGCTTGGCAAAGAAATGCTATCCTTCACTTTCTTAATCCTAAGTCAACATGCTCCCAGGGCTGCTTTATTTGGTTGACTTTGGCTGAAACTTGAATATGGTAAAAGGCACATAATTTTATAACTATTACTCAATAGACTCGTAGGAAAAGGAAAAGAGAGAAGTAAAAGTATAAAAGAATATACTGTTGCATTTTCTTATTTCCCTACAAAAAACAAACAGGGTGTATATAAATATTATAGAAACTAATCCATCTTTCAGTATTTACTTTTATTGCAAAAATGTGACTGGAAAAGGCATATAAGGAAGCATTTCACTGGGTTGTGGTTTTTATTGTTACTGTAAAAAGTAAGTTTTGAGGTGAAGGTAACTTTCCCTAAATAATCAAAATATATTTTTAAAAAATATAAAAGCATTAAAATGATCTCTCAATTTAATTGAAGATGTAACAATACTGTGATGTGAAGTTCAAGATTTGCAGAATGTCAATTCTTTAATGCTTCAGGAGTGTGAAGAATTTCATTAACGCATCTTCCATATCTCTGTGACATTTCATCCAAGAAGTCACATCTACAAAAACAAAAGTTGAAATTGTTAAAGCTAATGCAAAATCTATAGATCAATTGGAAATTCATCAACCATACATGAGAAGAGCTTGACCCCTGGTTACATGATGTTTTACTATAGCTTATATTTATATAAAATAGTTTTAGTTTAAGGATAATAAAGCAAAAAGATAACAGCAGATTAAAACACATCAAAAGTGCATTTTAAAGTCCAGGCTGAGTGCTGATGCTGAAGTTTCAATAAAATTATAAAATGTTTTAGTCTGAATTCTTTTATTCAAGAGCCTACTATATTTGCCTTTAGTTTTCAATATTGTTTCAGAGGATGTTGCACAATTCTTATGGGAATGCATTGTATTTTTATGATGTTTCAGAGATCCAATTATATACAGGCATTTAAATAGGGCAACCCTGCTGTATTTAAGAGTTATATTAATTTATTTATATTATTCAATAATGATGATGGCTCTAAGAGAAAAATTGTCATTGTAATATAGCAACATGTGTCTCTCATGACCAAAAATCAATGCATTCGGTACCAAGTGGCAGAAAAATCAATAACCACATCAGTAATTTAATTTCATCAAGTAAGCCTCCTGATTTCAATGGAAGAGTCCTAGAACTTGATAATCACGTTTTGAAAAGCTATATATACTTAGAGAAAATACGTTTTTGGATTTGGATAGAACTAGAGACTTCAAAAACTAAAGCCTTGATTTACTATATTAATGAGTGGAGGAAGACACTGTATAAATATATTATCTTCACAAAACATATATATGAGGGAAGATTAAATAGCACACAGCACTGTATCTGAATTTGATCTTAAATCAAGGAAAACTTCCACAATTAGATACTAGTTTTACATATAGTATGTAGACTCACAGTGAACCCAAGAAGGTAAAAATCCACAAATAAACCTGCTCCTAAAGAGAATATATCGGCCCCCAGAAAAGCAAAACAAGATATTCATAACATCTCATATATCTTTTCTGTTTATTTTAGAATTGTGTGACTAATGAGGTTAGCATACAAGTAAGAGAATTTAGCACCAAAATCTTATGGGTCATGAAGAGGATATTGGTCTAGAAGTCCAAAGAACTAGGACCTAGATCTGGTCTGCCTAAGAGTTTATAAAATGTTGCTAAATTGATTTTCTCTTGTAGCCCTTGTTTATTTAATTGTTAATAAAGTGGGGCTGTATTCAATGAAACCTTATGTCCTCAAACTTAGCAGCATGAGTGTGGGAGTATTATATAATTTTGTAAGTTGTTATTTGTTGAGCAATGCACATACTACATTTCCTGTTTAATTCAAAGGAATATGTAATGGTAAGACAGAATATATAAAACATAACTTTGAAAATTTGAAAGAGTTATAAACATTATTATATTATGGCTTCTGTAATTCATATATTATATCATATGAAGCTTCCCATGAGGAAGTAAAAAAAAAAAAGTCTCAGAAATCCTGGGAAGAGTGTGGGAAATAATGAATAGAAACACAATGGTTGGGCAGGCAAACCCACAGTGACTGATGAAAGAAAAAGGGGAAATGTGGTAAGTTTTCTAAACCTATTTTTTGTGTGATATTGTCTTCAGATTTTAATAGTAATGATAAAGATTGTCTTCAGATTTTAATAGTAATGATAAAGATTGTCAAGATTCTCAACAAAGTATGTTAAGAGAAGGACATACTTTACTACTTTGGGTCTCACCCAGTAGTGATTTAGAAACCATTATATTAATTCAGTTCTCTTCATAATTGGGATTCTAGATCTGAAAAAAACAAGGTTTCATCTGAATTTTTAATGATTTTCTTGGCAGCATTCAGTAAGTCCTCCTGTATTTATAGACATTAAATAACTGTAGAACTTCATCAATCAACTCATTGGAGAATAAAATTTCTTTGAATCAAGTCATTCTTTGAATAAAATAGTTGAGATTCCTTCTATAGCTTTAGAACATTTGAAAAAGAGGGGACAAATGGGACATTTTAATTGTGAGAGGATTAGGGATGATGTGATGCTTGGAGATTTTCTGCATCATTGGTCTGAGGGCCCTCATGAGAAAAGTCAAAAGCTTAATTTCCTCTTCTCTAGTCCAGGTTGTCTTACCTGTTTGGCAGGGAGGATTCACCTTATATAAGCCCTATTGGGAGAAAATATATCATGTAGATTTCATCTTCAAAAAGATTTTAGTGTTTAAAATATGCAATATATATGATGAAATGTATGTTTAGCACAACTCAGAACTTAAGCTTTTGGATGTTAATTCTATCTGCATCACTTCTTGTCTATGAGGAATTTTAAGTTAACATATCAAAGCTTTCTTTCCTCTTATATGTTTAATAGTAACTAATGATCCTAATGTACTTGACACATGCCAGACACTATTCTTAGTGCTTAATATGTGTCAATTCTGTAATTTTCAAGAAAATGCTATGTGGTAGAAATTACTATGATTCTAATTTTATGGAAGAAGGTTTAAGAATGTAAGCCAGGTCTCATAGCTAACAAATAGGTGACCTGCTGTTTGAACTGTAAGTCCTGATCTCCCTCCCTGGCAATTTTACCCCTTTCATGGTACAGTACTGCATTTCAAGACATTAGAGATGGTAATGGTATTACTTTATGGAACAGGATGATGAATGAAATGTGTGTGAAGCACTCATTAAGGGCTTGGCAGAAAGTGAATTTTCACAATTATAATATAAACTGTTAATCTTTCATGTAATGTGTGTCCATCAGGTTCTTGGACCACATCAAACACCAAACTTAATCTTCAAAATATGTAATATATGTTTATTTAAATGTAAAAGATGTGGAAAAGATAACTTGTCATAAACAAAGTCATGCATGAGTGACATAATTCGAATTTAGATAAGTTTTGATTCCATAGCTAATACTTTCCTGGTACACCATTCTGTCTTTTGATTCATGTTACTATAATTCTAGTAATCTATTTATGAGCAACAAAATGATGTGTATTTCTGGAATGCGTTTCCTTAACAGAGGGATTGTTACATACTTATGTATATTTATGAAGGCAATTTATTAGGTTAATTGGAATATTAAACCTTGTTTTGTATATTAACAGTCAATAATCACATAGAAATCTGTAAAAATGTTAATTCATTACTCTTTGAGGGTGAAGAAGACCTAGGTATAATTTAAATTCTTTGACATGAATAAAGAAATTGAATACAGAAGTGTTTGGGAAAGTGATTTATAAGCCAAAATATCAAAAGTGAGATTATGAACCAGGTGGATACTTTTGTTGATCGTGAAATGTTAATCAAGTGCCTGCACTTGATTACTTACCCAAATTGTACTTACAATTTGGAGTCAATTAGCCTCTGGAATTTGAAAGTCGGTTTCTACCAATCCGATCCATGGGAATACCAAATCTCCTTTTTGGATGATCTACTACTTTTCTGAAAATCAAGGTGAATTTTAAATTAATCAATCATTGCTTTGGCTCTTTCATTTCATGCAGATCTGGAGTTGGAATAATCAGGATAGTTAACCATTCACCAAGACCCACCATGTGCCAAGCATGTTCTAGTTTCAACATCTCTTGAGGTAGGTATTACTAGCTGTATTTTACATATGCATGAGAAATGTGAGGCTTAGAGTAGTTATCTTAACCAAATTCAAATAGACCACATGAAAAAGCCATGCCTTTGCAGCATATTAATCGGATAAGTGCTTTAGTTTGGGTATATTCCTTCTTTCTTTGAGATGGTATTTCCCTATTAATTGAGAAAGACTGGAATGGGTCCATGGTGTTTTGCAATCTCTGCCTTAGAATGGTTCTCCTGGAGAAAGAATGATGATGGGAAAGGAAATGGTGCTGATGCTAAGACTTAATGTGGAGTAAGTGTGCTTCTCATGTCTTCATTGAGACAACCCACAGAAGCTTTGGATGTGATGGTCTACATTTACTTGTATTCTGTATGTCCAGTTTATGCTGAAATGGTGTAAACAGCTTCTATATTAAAATAAAGCTTTAAAAAATCCACATGGGGCTACAAGAGGCCAAATGTACCTTTCAGCTCAAGTATGCTAAGAATTAGCTCTTTAAAAAGAAACATTTTTAAAACATTTCTATTTATTTTGTTGTTACCATCACTTAGAGTTATCAAGCCAAAATCCTAACAGGACAGGTCCCAAAACTTTTGTGTGTAACTTTCACCTGGAATAAAGAGATGCTTGAGTATTCATAATGATAGAGGCGAGAGATGTGAACAAGTTGATGTAAGAGACTTGCCTTATAGCTGAAGGTAAGTGACTTAAAAATATGTTGGTGTTCTTGCTGAATTATTAAACAGAAAATAGGTTATAAGGAGGTACTTAAAAAGTTCATGGAAAACAGAATGTAAAAATGTTATTTTGGCACATAATAATTTTGAAAATATTTCATAGTTTTTATATGTATTTTTCATATACTTTTTGATGACCTTTCGTATGTAAGGATTTCTAAATTTTTGCACCAAAATAAATTTATCTCTTTTTAAGAATTAGTTATTTATTTGAAAGACAGGGTTACATAGAGAGAGGGAGAGTCACAGAAAGATCTTCCAACTGCTGGTTCACTCTCCAAATGGCTGCAATAGCAGGGATTAGCCAGACCAAAGCCAGGATACAGAGTCTCCATCTAGGACTCCCTTCTGAGTTACAGGGGCCCAAGAACTTGGGTCATCTTCTGCTGCTATCCCAGGTACATTAGCAGGGAGCTGGATTGGAAGTGGAGCATTCAAGACTTTAACTGGTGCCCATATGGAATGCTAGCATTCAAGGCTGCATCTTAACTTATTGTCCCACAGCACCAGTCTCTAAACTTATGTTTTAATTTCATTTTCCCACTGTCTTTTTGAAGCTCCATTCATATTTTAAGCAAACAATATAAGAAATTGAAAGATTGCAAGTGCAATAAGCATTTTGATCAAGAAGTAGAACATCATTAACAATCAAACACTTTTGGAATAGGAAGGAATCTTAAAGTTATTTTCCCCTAAAAGCAAAGATTTCTGCTGTAATTTTTGACTGTAATTAAACTTCATTCCTTGAAAATCTCAGTGATGTTACCACCAGACAACCTAATTTTAAATACTTTAAAGAGTTAAAGGAAATATTACTTCCAAAATTTTAATGGCTCTTTCTCTTTTTTCTAATTACTTGCATTATGTTATTAATATGTAAGTACAGAAGATGGGATTATGGATGTTTTTACTATAAAGAATATTAAACATTTGAAGAGCTTAATATATTTACCCTGATTGTTCATTACACAATATATGCATGTTAATGACATATCACATAGCACCTCCAAAAATATGTGCAGCTTTTGTCTGTAAAAATAGGAAGTTATAACCTTAAAATAAAACAAAATTGATAGATTAAACAAAAGAATAATTTAAGCACCTAAAGGAAATGAATGTCTCAGTATTTGAGGTTTTTCCTAGCATAATTTACTGTGTACCTAATATATATATAAAGTTCTTTTGTGACTATTTTTGTATAAATGGATCTTTTCTTTAAGAAACCTATAATTAACTATTCTCAGAATAATGAAAATTTTATGTAAATACGGAATACTATCTCTCAGTTTTATTAATAAATATTTTTTTTCCTTAACTATCAGGACTGAACAGCAGTCTGATATATTGGTAAGTAAATACTTTATTAAAAGGCTCTGAGAAGTATGGAGGACAATGTGGACACAGGAGATTTTTTATTGCTGTAACTTACAATTAACAAACACTACTTACTTTTAATTAAAAATAATTAACTTTTTAAAATTTATTTTTTATTTTTTTTAAATTTTTTTTTGGCAGGTAGAGTAGACAGTGAGAGAGAGAGACAGAGAGAAAGGTCTTCCTTTACTGTTGGTTCACCCTCCAATGGCCGCGGCGGCCGGTGCATGGTGCTGATCTAAAGCCACGAGCCAGGTGCAGGACCCAAGGACTTGGGCCATCCTCCACTGCACTCCTGGGCCTTAGCAGAGAGCTGGTCTGTAAGAGGGGCAACTGGGACAGAATCCGGCGCCCCGACCGGGACTAGAATCCCGGGGTGCCGGTGCCACAGGCGGAGGATTAGCCTATTGAGCCGCAGCGCTGGCCCAAAATAATTAACTTTAAAAAAAAAATTTTTGAATCATTTGAAAGGCATGGTGGCAGGGAGAGAGAGGGGAAAAGACAAAGAGAGAATCTCCCATCCACTGGTTCATTCCTCAAATGGCCGCAATGGTCAAGTCTGGACCAGGCTATAGCCAGTGCCCAGAACACCCTCTGGGTCTCCCACATGCAGTGGAAAAACCTGCGGTCCCCTTCCAGAAACTTGTTGAAGACCCCCTCACATGGACTTTTTCCATGTGATTTTTTTCCACCAAAATAAACTTATCTTTTATAACATTTCTGTGAACTTTTTGAAATTCTCTTGTATTTTTTAACTTCATAACCAAGTGAAAAAATACTTTTTGGAAAATTAGCATAAAAATCATTGTCAAGAATAATAAAAAGTATGAGTATCAGTCATGTTTTAAGTTCTTTTATATATTTGTAGATAATGGCTATTTAAATAGAAGGAAAAAATCTCTCCTTTATATTTTTAATTATCTTTTCACACATAAGTGAATTTATATACTCTTAAGAAATTATTTTACTTTAGTAGTCACAAAATGGCTTTCCCGAGGTATCCATGTCATAATCCCACATTCTGTAAATATGTGACTTTGAGATAGGAAGATTTTCCTGAATCATCTTGCTGGGTGCAGTCTACTCCCTGGGGTCCTCAAAGTAACGATGATGACGAAAGAAGGAACAGAAGAGAACAGCGACCTGAGAGCGACTTCCCCCACCACCACTGCCTGTGATGATACAGGAAAAGGTCAAGAAATCACAGCACCCTGTGGCCTCTGAAAGTTTTTAAAAGAAAATGAGGACTTTGGTGCTACAAGCTGTAAAGAAACAATTCTGCCAATAACTTGATTAGGCAGGACATTAATCTTCCTCTCAAGCCATCTCACATCTTGACATCTTCTGTGCTCAGATGGCAGAAAAAGTGAAAGACAGAATACAGAGTAACATGTAAGAGGATATTAGCTGCCAATCATGGCTAAAACCGAGTCATGTGACTCTATTGAACGCAAAAGGAAAATCGAAAATGTTGTTGGGAATGACATACAATGTATTTCAAAAATTTTGTGGAAAATGTATGCATGAGTTTCAATGTTTTTCTGTACCCAAGTGGACCAAGTGGAATTATTTTTTTTCTATTCAGGTGACAGGGAGAGAATATGAGGGAGAGAGGAAAAGAGGGAGAAAAAGAGAGAAAGAGTGATAAATAGAGAGATTATCTTCCATTATCTTCCATTCCTGAAACGCCTGCAATTGCCAAGACTGAGCCAGAAGCCAGGAACTCAACCCAGTTCTCCCAAATGAATGGCAGGGACCCAACTACTTGAGACATCACCTCCGCCTGCCAGGGTCTGCATTGGTAGGGAGCTGGAATCAGTATCTGGAACTGGGAACTGAAACTAGGAACTCCAGTATGGAATGTGGGTGTCTAATAACTAAATCAAATATTCTATCCTATACCTCTTTTCTGATTCCATTTTCAACACACTTTTGAAGTACCCTGCTATGGGGCACAGTGAGGATATGATAGAATCTGACTGATAGAGTTTAAGATAATTAATTTATATTGTTTGAAGCTAATAAATGTTATAATTTATTATAGCAGCATTTTTCTATACTTGTAAATTTTTCTATAAGATTTAAGGCTTATGTCTAAGTGTAATGTAGTTAAAAATAGAAAATATTAAAATAATAAGATTCTGGGAGGTTCTTTGATCCTTCAGTTCCTTTTCTAACTGTTCTACCATTTTAAGTCCAGGGAAGGGGTAAGGCAGAAACCATCTAGGATGGACAGAATTCTCAGGGGTAGTTTCAGATGAAAAGGAAGAAGAATAATCCTTTCCAGGTATTTTAAGAATGGGGAGTAAGGGGCTGATGCCATGGCACAGTAGGTTAATCCTCCGCCTGTGGCACCCGCGTCCCATATTGCGGCCAACTGGGGAGTGAACCAGCAGAAGGAAGACCTTTCTCTCTGTCTCTGCCTCTCACTGTCCATAACTCTACCTCTCAAATAAATAAATAAAATCTTTTAAAAAAAATAAGGGGGAGAAGGAGAGGTAATAGCATCGTGAAAAAGGAGTCCTACTACTCCCATCAAGAATCAATGTTGTTGGTCGGCGCCATGGCTCACTAGGCTAATCCTCCGCCTTGCGGCGCCAGCACACCGGGTTCTAGTCCTGGTCGGGGTGCCGGATTCTGTCCCGGTTGCCCCTCTTCCAGTCCAGCTCTCTGCTGTGGCCAGGGAGTGCAGTGGAGGATGGCCCAAGTGCTTGGGCCCTGCACCCCATGGGAGACCA